CACACATCCCGCCTCCTGAACTGACAACGTGACAAGGTGGGATCAACTTTTCAGTGAAAAAACACTTGCGTCATTTAATCTAACACTTAGTGTGCGTGGGGTGTACTTCGCGTCTGCTTTGTGATGGCGGGCTGTTTTGCTCTGGTGGGACCGGGCTCGTCGTGGTGGCCTACACGGCGGGAGCCAATGCAATGCATTATCCATCACCGGTGACCCGCCGGCAGGAGCTCTTGGTGAACTATTATCAATCACCATTATCTAAGGTTTTGATGGTGTAGAAGTTCCTAGAATTCATGAAAAAAACTTGAACATCACATCAATAACATAGATGATCCAATGGAGCGATTGAGAAAATACAACTTTATGTGCCCTGGACGGAAAAAAAATTCAAATAGTTGAGTCCATATATATCGCCGTGAGTCGAAATTATTGTCATTTTTGCCGAGGGCACATGAAGTCATATTTTGTCAACCGCTCTGTTGGATCATCCTATATTATGAGTGTGATGTTCTAGTATTTCTTTGATATTTTTTGTAAAAAATGAAACTGTTAATACCACAATGAGGCTTAATGGGTTCTTCAGACAACATTAATGGTAAATGTTAGCAAATGATGTAAGGCTGGTCATAGTAGTGTCATACATATGACACTAGTCTAAATTACTATCTTCATAGTGCAAAGTAACATAGTAGTAGTGTCATGGATGGCTTCATTTATTAGCTTGTAGACTCATCTTGTATTGGGAAGCGCTATGTTACAGTAACATATTACTACCTCCGTTTCAGTTTACAAGTCCTGCGCGTATATCTAGGTTATCAATTTTATCACCCTAATATAAACTATATAACACAAAAATTATACCTTTTGAAAGTAGAAACTCTGAAGTTTATGTTGGTATATTTTTTGTACTATATGATTTGTATTAGGTTGGTCAAATTGACGACCTAGGGGTACGCGCATGCCCTGTAAACTGAGAGAGAGGTAGTATGTTACTACTTCTCATTAACTACTTGCCACATAAGCAAAAATTTCTTGAAGTGTGCTATGTTACTCGCTAAGTTACTCCCACTATGACCAGCCTAAGAGCCATGCTCCTCGAGTTAATCATTTTTCTTTTTTGCATGATTAAATATTGACGTGCGACTAAGTATCAGCACAGAGTTAATCATTTTTCTTTTTTGCATGGTTAAATATTGACGTGCAACTAAGTATCAGCAGAGTGGCTAGCTGAGTAAACAATTAACTTCTACAGGGTTGTGAAGTCATTTGCATGTAACCTGTTTTGTTAATTTCGCCGTGCTTGGATATACATTGAAGTTGGAATGTCTTCTTGTTTGATCTAATCATACACTATCCTGGCCATGGTGATTTGTATGTTGACCCGTTTTGAGGAAAGCATCTTTTTTTATGAACGAAACAAGTACTACGTTTGCTAGGAGTAAACCCTATTGCAAAATAGGATTTCGTCCCACTTTATAAATAAAGCAAATATTTGATAGTATATAGAAACTCAAATTATTTGTAAATGTTTTTTTATTTTTCAAAACATTTGATTCTATCTCAGTCAAATTCAAGTGAAAATTTTGGTCGTTTGGCCGAAGTGAAATCCGAAATCATTGAACTTCAATGAATTGGGTAATGAATGAAATATTTCTGAAGCTGAAATTCAAAACCATGGTCTGCAGTGACATAAATAAGTGATAGAGAAATAGATAGGGAGTTAGGGAGGAAGGGA